CGTCGGGTGTAACTCTGCTACTTTCTGTTCTTTCCGTGACGGGAGAAGGATCCCGGAAACTGCACCGGACCCCCAGGTACAGGTTGGCGCGATCACACAGGCGACCTCCGATGATAGGTACGCGGTGTATGTAACCTTTGGTTCGGTTTCTCTCCAGTCTGCGTGTGCGGCAGCTAGCTTTAATCTACGATTCTCCGGCAATTTCCGGGCGGAGAATATTCGCCATGTTTATTCTACGTTCGCGTATCCGGTCGAGGGTTAGATAGATCGTTAGAGACGGTTCTTAGGTGCCTGGGCGATAGTTGAGGGGGAAAAGAGAGGCGAGGGGTTTAGCGAACCGTGGAATCGGAACCCGGAACCTTCCGTTTGACGCTCGAATGGCATGACCAATCGAGCTGGGATAGGTCATCGGTGCGCACCCTAATCCTACTACCCTGAAAGGTGTATCGACTAGTTTCGAAGGTTCTCGGGTTGTTTCTTTGGTAGTTGGACGGACAGAAATTTTGTTTTCGAAAGGATCGAATGTGGTGAGGATTTAGAAAGGGAGAATATTCGTTTGGTTTGGGCTAGGTCATCGTGGCTACCCTGAACCCGAATCCTACTACCCTAGAGGGTGAATCGTCTAGTTACGAAGCTTCTTGCGTTGTTTCTTTGATACTTCGAAGGACAGAAATTTTCTAGCGTTCAGTTTCAAAGGTTCTCACGTTGTTTCTTTATCACTTGGAACGATAAAAATTTTCTATTTGAAAGGACTGAATGCGATGACGATTTAAAAAAATAGAATATTCCTTTGGTTTGTGAATCGTTGCTGAAAGCGTAATTATGTAAAAATTTGCGGTTGGGTACTACCCTAACAGGAGTATCGTCCAGTTTCAAAGCTTCTCGAGTTATTTCTTCACCACTTCCGAAGAATAGAAATTTTCAGGTGACAATTTAAAAGAATTGAATATTCTGTTGCTGAGAATTTAATTGGGCCAGGTCATCACATCTACCCTGCACCCTAAAAGGTGTTTCGTCCAATTTCAAAGCTTCACCACTTGGAAATACAGAAATTTTCTATCAGAAATAATCGTCTCAGGTGACAATTTCAAAAAAAAAAAAGAAGAAGTATATTCGTTTGGTTGACGAATCGCAGCGAGTGTAATTGCGTAAAAGTTGGCGACAGACGAAGGGAACGAGGTATCTCGGCGGGAGGGCGTCGAGGAGGAGAGGCGAGTATCTAGGTCTGTGTAACGATTTTTAAAGTCCCGACCCTCCGACAATCGTCCAGCCCATAAAAAACTTGAGGCACCCCACAGTCAACGCGCGCGCTGCGCCAGGGTTTCCATAGCGACCGAGCCCTTTCGCGCCCCTCTGTCGTTGACCTATACCTACGTCGCTACCCTTAGATGCTCTGGCTGCCCTAAATCTATTAGACGAATTCAAAGATACCTACCACCGTTGGAGGAAGTATCACGCCCTAACGAAATAAATCACAGTGGCTCCGGGATGCTGAACGAGAAGAAGAAGAAGAAGAAGAAGAAGAACAAGAAGAAGAAGTAGGAGAAGAAGAGGCGTCAGGAAGAATTTTATGTCGCTTGCAACCACCACGAAGTAAGAGAAGGCTTGTGCAACACTCTGTCCTTCTCTCTTTTTCTCTGTCTTCGTGATTGATTGATGCAACCCGATGTAACTGGTGCTCGTTTTCACGCTCGATCCGGTTTATTGACGGGGACAAATTAGAGGTGTCTCGAACTTCTATGCAATTCTCAGGGTATGAATTAAATATCACGGGAGGAAGATGTATTATTCCCGGCCGGTGCTCGCAATGAATAATTTAGATCGTGTAATTTACGAGGCCTCGTTTGAATATATGACATTCGTAGGGTTGTCGATTAAAGGTATATGATATTACCCCGAATCGTGACCAAATAACGTGTGACTAATAAATTTCTATGTGACGCGCGTGTAATCTCGTTCAGACGGGGGACAAAATAGTATGTTGTTTTTTGCAGAAATTAGAAGTACGAATAATTTCGTAACAAATGAAACGTACAATCTGCGAACCTACAGAGCTACTTTTCACCTGCGAACGAACCTACAGAGACCATGACTTGCAGCTTCAATTTGAACTTTCGTTGAAAGAAAAACAGGGCAAATAATTAAACCTGCACAATGCTTAAAACAAGGCCAACTTTCCTCTCGAGCTCGTTTATTATTCACTTTGAAAAGATCACCGATGTTGCTAGCCCCCTGCGAGGTGCCATTATCAAGCGTCGTCGAGGGAAATTTAGGCGTAGCAAGAAAGGAAACGCGAAGAAGGGGAGAGAAATTATGAAGAAAACGAAGAAGAACAAAAGTTACTTGCACACGGTCAGAGAAAGAGAGGGAAACAGGGAAGAAGGTGGCCGCAGGTCCAGCGACGACATCAGACATGCACAGGGCCGACGAAAAAAGGTGAGAGCCGCGGAATCGTAAATCGAGAATTAAGTATGACGGCGAGCTGTAAGACGTA